AATAAGGGTACGTGACAGGCAGGATGTGCCCTAGGGCTGCCGTGGGACCATGTTGATGGCTGCCTTAGTCCTGATCAGCCTTTGTTCTCACCTCTCAGAATCTTCCCTTGATCTCTCCTGCCATGCCGTGATGTTGATAATGAATAGGGGAGGCTGCCCTTAGAAGCTGGTGAGCTCTTGGCAGAGCCGTCTTTTTTTGGGAAGGAGAATTGGGGTGACCACCCTGGGCCCCATGCTTTGGGGGACCCTGTGGACAGTGCTGTAGAGGCCCTGCAGGCTGCCAGGCTCTGCTGCATGCTGCTGGCTCCCAGGTATCCCTGGGCACTGCTTCCCACAGTGGGAGCTCCTCTCCCTGCAGCCTGCAGGACCTAACTGCCTGCTCTGGACCAGAGCCTGGGCTTATCTGCCTGGGAGCCCCAGCCCCTTTCTGTCACATGCCTCCCACCAGCCACTCACAGAGGTTTAACTCCCCTGATTTAAGGTTCAGCGTGCACTTCTGTCTCTGCAGTCGACTTAGCATGCTGCATCCTCTGAAAATTTCAGGAACCCCCTAGCTCCCTGGTACAGATCCCCTCTCCCTGGATCATGTGGTTCAATCTCCAGTGCCCTCCCAAATATCTTTCAATGATATCTGCCAGGTCTCCCACCTTCACGTGGACCATTTTGGCACATACTCAGGTGCATTGATAGGGTTTTTCTCCCCCTCTATTGTGTCCAACTAAAAGGATTTGGTACTTTATTTTAGGTATAACGTCTATTAAATAGGTTGATGTTTCTATTTATTGAATTAATAGATGTTATAGGTTCACATGCTAAAGGCCTCATTCTGATTTAATGAATGTTAAACATTTATAATTTCAGTGGCTTCCAGCAGTTGTTTCTAATTCACAAATGCTTCTGAGAGCAGAATCAAACCTGACTGATTTTTTTCAATTATCAGCAGAATTAACAGTGATGCTCTGACCAACCCTGTGCTCCAGATAGATTGGTTTCTTCAGCAAGCTGCCATGAGACTAGGCCCTACAGCTGGGTTCTGCTTAAAATTCTCATTTTTATTGTACACCTGAATACATTTCATCTCTGTTTCTAGTAGGGTAGTGGTATTGTGGTGCATAGATAGATACTCAAACATAGTCTTGGTGAAGAATGTGTCACAACTCTGGCATACTGCCATTGCTGGTTACTTAGTTGTTACTCTAATCAAAAAATAAATGATTGCCAAAAGAAACACCTGCAGCCAAGTGTCCTTTACTTATGCTGCTGGGCTGCTGGCAGATTCTGCTTAAGTTCAGTCTTGCTTGAATGTGGTGGAGGAATGGGAGTTTGGCATTGTTGTTCTTGGAACAGTAATTCTAAGAAATTTATAAATGTCTATAATTCCTACAAAATTCCTCCATATTGGGGTGGAGGAGGATTCAGCATGTCTTGGAATGGGGCTCCTACTCTGCTTTTTCAGTGCATTTATCCTCTGTTTGAAAAGCCAGGTAGTACATCAAATGTATCTCTGCTGCTTTTTTGAGGAACTGTGAGGGGAAGCTGGGAGCAGTAACACAGTGCAGGAGAATCCTGGGTGCATGCGCTGCTTTTTCATATTATGTAGTAGTTGGGGGTTTTTTTGCTTGTTTGTTTTGTTCCCCCCACCACTCCCACCCCAGAGTTTTGAAGCAAATCCCTCCTATTCTTTAATTGTATGCTTGAATGTGCATTGTTCTACACAACCATCCAGCACTTCTTGCAGTTTGTTTGCTGTCATGTAGGAGTGACAGTAATGGCCGCATTGGTACCTAAAACTGAAAGTTGTCCAACTGGAATGTTTGGCTATGAAGTGGAAGTTCCCTTACACATGGTTCTATTGGTATTAGCTATCATTTCAACAGTAAAGCTTCCAAGTCAGTGATCAGGACTGACTGTAAGGGCAAAAGCAGGCCCAGTGTTTCATATAGATGATTGAAGGAAGACTTGATGGATGGATGAGACAACTGGTAGGCCACAGTGCAATATGGCATGACATACCAAAATGCTACTGAGAGATATATCTATCTCCAGTGACCTGAGTTAGAAAATGAAAACCCACATTGTAAAAGATTACTATCTCTGTGACCCCAGTGGTTACTGTGATGGAAAGAGCCTAGAGAAAACCAAGCTGGGTGCTGAAGAAAATATTCAAACGGATAGGTAGTCAGGGTGGCTATGGAACGACTCTGAAGATTATGGCAGCCAAAGTTTTCAAACATGGGCCTGCCTACAGGCATCCACCGTTGTAACTGCCTGAGTAAATGCACAGATTCTTGATGTATAAGCCCAAGTCCTGCCGAGATGTCTAAAAGTATAGATTGGTAAATCTACCAATATCTGATATGTGTGTAGCAGACTTACCTTTTTGAGCTAGGGTTGAATCCCAGCATCGAGGGTCTGCTGTTTGATTGGTGGAGCCCGCCCACCAATCCAGAGGCAGCACAAGGGATCCGAAGGGAGGGGGCAAGGAGCACCTGGACCTGCATGGGAACTGCACCAGCCAGGTCGGGAGAACTTCAGGGGTGGAGCCTCTGAAGAGTATAAAAGGGGAGTGTGCTCAGCAGGCTGGGGAGACAACGAGGGATGGTGAGGAGCTCCAGAGATAGCCATCCTCAGGATCCTGCTTGATCTTCAGCGGTGCGCAAATCAGTGAATGGGGATCAGGCTCTAGGAGCTGCTTGAGGCAGCTTGAGCCTGAGAACCCAGCAAGTGGCTGGGCAATCGGTGTGCAAATCAGCACACGGAGAGCTAGCCCTGGGAGCAGCTCATGGCTGCTCTGGCCCCGCACGGTGTGCAGGTTGGCGCATGGAGAACCACCTTGGAAGCAGCTCGTGGCTGCTCATATTAGCCCCAGCCCTAGGCCAAGTGACTAGAGCCCTGTAGTGCGGCTCCATTTTTAACTAAAAGAGCCCTGGTGCCCAGAGCAGGGCCTGGGAAAGGGGACAACCCCTCGTATGAGACCGGGGAGTCAGAGCCTGCAAGGGCTTGGCTCCCACAAGAGAGAGCCCTGGGTGCCCAGTGTGGGGCACCAGGCCATTGAGGAGAGCTAAAGGTGCCACTGGGGAGAGGCTCTTGTGGGATCGGCCTTGACTTCTCTAGAGAGGAAGCATGACTTACTGGGGAAGCAGGCCCCGCAAGGGAGGCTGACACAGGTGAGGAGGGTCTGCTGCCTCCACCCTCCATTGCGGGAGGGGTGTGTCCACATCCCAAAGCCCTAAAGGGGAGGGGCTTCAGGGAAACCCCTCGGGAAGGTGCTGAGTGCACTTTCTATTTTGAGGTTGTCTTTGTGTTAAGGGCTATATAGCTAGAGGTATTCTTTAAGGTGGTTTATATGTTTTAATGCCTCAGTGTGTATACTAGTATTGTTATTTGTGAAGGTTTAAAGAAATATTGTGGTTAAGTTACTATCCCTAGGTGTTAATTGTGTTATATAGGTTGTAAGTTATTTGGTTCATATTTGGTATTGTATGTGAATTGTGGAATAATATATATAGTATTATATGTTAAGCCTTGTAAATATTCTGTTTTATATTAAGCATCTGTATTTATTCTTGTAAACTGTACATAGTTAAGTGTTTGGTTTTGGCCTAGCTCTATAGAGAGGGGAGGAAGCCACTCTAGTGGCCGACCCCTTCCTCAGCACCCTGCCTGACCACCACCACTTTCATCGGAGGACAGGGCACACCCCCCAGGTATACCTGGGCTACATATGTAAATACCAAAGACCCCAAGAAGGTATTGACCTAACTATTACAAGAATAAAGACCAGACAGATAAACTGCAATACAATTTTATTTGCTATTCCATCTTTCAAATACATTATATATAATATGATGCAATATAGAGACTGAGTTAAATTATATTGGAATAGGAACTAATCTTGGTTGTATGACACTAAAATGAGAATATACCATTACTATAACTGGCCATAATAGCTTAATAGGACGTCCAGGGTCATCTAGTCTTGGCCCCTGCAAGGATTTAGAAGGATTAAAGTCTGAATTTGATACATTTAAGTCTGGACATTATGGTGAAAACTGTGCTAAGCTCACTGGCCTTGATGAAGCCAGTCACTAATGTAAACAACAAGAAGCACCAGCAGACCACCATCTGTGTGATTGGTCAGCTGTTTGTTTGTGCAGAGATGCTGGATATGTGGGGACACAAGGGCCCTGGCCTTGGCCCCCTTCAGGAAGGCTGTCACCTGAAATCAGTAAAACTTCCCACATGTCCATCATCTTAGTGACCTCTCCCCATCTGGCAAAAATAAGTCAGCATCTATGAGTCTGTGTAAAAAGCTGTATGCAAAATAGGGCCTTGTCCTACAAATTGTCAGAGAGCTTAGGCTCAGGAAATGGTGCTGTACTGTATATGAAAATAAAAGCAATTGTAGCTGACCTGTCCACTGTGTAGTCCCTGATGTTATCATTGTTCAAGTGTAAAATGAGCATTAGATGCTAGCAAATCAGCGTTCTCCACTTGCTCTTGCTAGGGATTGTGTTTTTTAGATCCAGATTACTTTTATTTCCATTTTTCAGAATGAAGTCAGTGCTAGGCAGAGAAGAATTGGGCCTAGTTTCTGGAGGAAGCCTATGGCTAGCTTTAAAAATGAGGAAGGCACTTCTGAGATGGACGTAAAAAGACTGGGGGCTGCCAGTGATATATGTGTAACTGGGAGTGCTGTGGCTCTGATTCCCAGGACTTGTGAACAAAGGGGCATTCTGGGATTCTGGAGAACTAATGGTGAGACCATTGTACTGATGCAGCCAGAAACCAGTGAAGAGGAGAAAAGAAGAAATGAAAGCATGTTTTGCAGGCACAGGGAGCTATTGACTTCAGAGATGGGCCGGGTGCATCCCCCATGAGTGGGAACATGCATTTCCCAGGGACAAATAGGTGCACGCTGCTGCCCTGTCCACTACTCCACATGCTGTCCTGCATTTTTTTTTCTGCTGCAGGTTTGTTTGGTTTTTTTGGGGGGAGGGGGTTGTTTCTGAAGCCAGGATTTCCTGATGTCAAAAAAAGCTGCTACACTGCAAATTAGCAGTGTGGATATGCAGTTTGCAGCAGTGCAACCCACATGTGTATGCTTGTCTGGATATGCCTAATGTGGCCAAATTTAGGGAGTGCAGAGGCAATTAGGAGTCCCAAATTAGGCAAATTGATTTAGTAAATTAAAATGGATCTGAAGAACAAAGGCTGCAAAAGAAATGAACGTGAGCCTGTTCCAGCTGCCTCCTTGGTCTGAAAATACAGGTCCTCTTTGTGCTGATAGCGCAGACCTAAAGAAAAGAAAACAAACAGGATATTCATAGCACACCTCTGAATTAAGATCTTTTTAAATACTGGAGCTTTGTAGTTTGGACTTGGATGAAGTCCAAACATTAAGTTGTAAACTAACTTCCAGAAGTCTCTTTACAGTGTTCTTGAATGGACTCTCAACTCTGCTCAGCTGTTGTGGTTTTATAAACAAAAAATCTGGGCACAGACTCATGCATTAGCCTGTGACTGGCCAGTATTTTCTCAGTCTGCTCATGCTCCCTGGGAGGCACAGCCCAAGTGTATCCATCTTTGATGTTTTGCCTTACGCTTAAGTTACAAGCTAATAGGCCAGGGACAATTTTTTTGGTTCTGTATTTGTACTGTGCCTAGCTCCGGGTCTATCAGTAGGCCTCTTTTTGTTACGCAATGGTCTAAATAACAAATACTCAGAATACAGTTGTCATGATCAGAGTACATGTGAAATGCTTTCTGTTTGTGTTCTGTGCCACCTAGTGGGTATTCTTGATCTCTACAGGCTTACTTTTAATGCCCAGCTGTTACAGCTTATAACAGGCCAGTGTCCATGCTATACCTCAGCCCAAGTGTCAAGAAGGGAAAAGGGACACGTGCTATCAGTCTAAAGTACAGTTCTAAGTATAGGTTACACCAGCCTATGATCTTGGGGTAGCCCTGTCCCTGCCGTGACACTGACTTTTCTCTTGGTATACTTGCCTGACTTGTGGCATTACGGTGATGGAATTTAGCCACCTATACCACTCAACATAGCTCGTGTGCTGTATTCTTCAGAGGTTGATTAAACCAGTTGTTCAGCCCCTGTCTCAGTGAGCCACTATAAAAGGGGCTACACTGGAGCCCAGAAGTCAGGACCTGAATGTCGGCTGCCATTATTTTTAATCTTTAAGTATAAAAATGTCAATTTTAGCGCTCTTGACCGAAATGGGACTTTAATGGTGAATTAACAACTTCTGCCAAAGCCCAGTCAGAGTCAGCAAGTACATTAGATTAACAGACTATTTAGCCACAGAGTAAACCATCTAGAAAACTACTCATCAAAAAGTTCAAAGAGTTCATAAACTTGAGAAATCACAAGCTGATTGGTAGCTGTCTTGAGAGGGGGGAGGTTAAAGTGTTGTTCATTGCAGATAACTGATTCACCACAACATAAGAATTTTGCATTGATTTCTCATTTTAATTTACTTCTATCTCCAGGTGGTACAGTGACTGGGGTAGCCAAGCCCATTCAGCATGCAACCTTCATTCCTAGTGTCGGTGACTGAGTGAAAACAAGATGCATCAAGTTTAGTTCACAGCTGAACATGCAAAAAAGATCAGAAATGTCGGGAGAGATGCATCAGAGAGTGGAAAATGACCAAAAAGGGAATCTTCTTTGTAGGGATGTCAGTAACATGCAAGATTAAGGGCAGCATGAAGAAGGTCCTCTAATATAGTGGTGATAATAGTCCAATAAATACTCCAATGGATGGAAGGGAATAAGCAATTAGTCCCCTGCTTGCAGTATGTGCTAGTGCTGAAGGGGTGGTATACTCAGCCTTTAGGTGAAAAGACAAGTTTTTCTAAAATGGTTTCCAGAATGCTTCCTATCCAGATTTCGTCAGCCAACGAATGTACTCACACCACAAAACTGAGAGGTATGGTTTAAAACCTGGGAGAAGAGATCCTTCATTAAGCACTCCCAATTTCCAAAAGGAAAGCCCTGTTTAATATTTGGGTTTTTCAGTTGGCTAATTTAATTAGCTTTTTTCACAGGATAATTAGTTTTTGGCGCACAGGGTTTCACAAGTGACAGCCAGAAATTCCTTCAGCACTTAACAGCAAAAGCCTTAGCAATCACTATATTTTAATACGCAATCAGCTCGTACAAGCTTACAACTTAGAACCAGGAACAAAAAATACCTCTGTATGCCTGGTTGCCTCATCCCTTGTGCAGACAAGTTGAGGTGTGACCATTTTTTTTTTTTTGGTCTCTTAAATGTTGCTGTTTTCACACGTTCATTAGTTGATGTGAGAGAGTAATTTTGGATGATTAAACAGATGTAATACCTTTCCAAAATGGCAGATACACAGACAAGGAAGCATTATGTCAGTATCCAACAGAGAAAGCTATTGGTACTGAATATCATTACTAACTTCTCTTTAATAATCTTATATTGAAGATGGCAAATCCTGTATCGGATAGATGTGGAAGGACTCATTGCAGGTATTGAAGTCTCATGCGTATTTGCTTCTCCCAGTATGTATGCTCTTGCTGTTGGTAGATATACTTAATGCAGAACAAAGTCGGTCTCCAGATCTGTTGTACTGACATTCTTCTGCTGCCTGACAGAGGGACAGCAATTTGTTGCTCAATACTCCTACGTATTTCGTGCTTTATGTATTAAGCAAATTTCTGTATTATTCTTCTACCTTAATAAGTTATCAATACAGAGTTCAGGTTTCCTGGAAGATGTACCTTAACAAAACTCAGCACAAGGTATTCATATTTAAAATTTCTGTGTCAGGCTTTCCATGTGCTAATAAACACACTTTTGTAGTTAACAGTGTTAAACTTCACCCTGATATATTTCAGTGAAGTCTACTGTAAAGGTAATTTTTTTTTTAAGTATGTTTAATTATTTTTATGTCTGCATTGTGAAATGTAAAATCTGCAAGACTATATGCAAATATTCTTGCAATTTGGTGTTTATACAGTTGCACCATATTTAGCAAGAGAGCTGCTGTTTTCTACATTTGCTCTTCTCATTTAACTTAGCACTTCAACATTTTTTGGAGAAAGATTATAGAAAGAAAATCCTATACTTGAGTCTAAGAGTTACGTTCATTTGGTCAACGGACAGTTGACTAGGCCTTAAATTGGAACTAGTCAACACTGGTTTTAATGTTGAATACTTGTAACTATTTGATTATACATAATTTGTAAAGCACAAATTATTTGCTGAATTAATTCAAATATGAAAATCAAGAATACTGCAAACTGCTCATGCACAGCCAGTAAAAGAGCTGAAGTCTTCTGAATAAATTGATTCAACGTAAGTTAGGTTGATCTTCATTTACTTACGACACAACAGGACAACTGGGGTGGTCAGGATGATCCACGCAGAGTAAAAACAATACAGATCTGTAATGAGATTATTTTTGTTCAGCATCCTTTGATTAGTAAATAAAGCAAACCAAACATTGAGCAAACATTGAGACTGAGTTTGCTTGCTTAAACCTTCTCCTTATGGTACTTGTTTTGCAATGTAGCTCTAAAAATCTAGAATAAGCACAGCTATGAGCTACAGACATCAGTATGGGATATTAATTTATAACCATTATCTAGATTGTGCATTCCTTTTTCCATCCAAAGCTCTAAATGGAAGACCATCTTCTGTGTCTGGTACTGAATGAGTGCAATGCTGCACTTTAAAAAAGCAAAACAAAACAAAAACCCTGCAGGCAGGGTTTTGAAACTTTAGTATTACCAAACCTAGGGATGTGGCTGAAGAATATCACCACTCTTAACACACGGCATGGCCTAGCAGGTTAGTGGCACCTGAGTTCAGGTTAACCTATTTCTACCCATTCTCTATCTGAAACTCTAGCAAATGCACTAAATTTATTAAAAGTTCCACTTACTTATAATCGTCAGTGCAGGTGATGTCATAACCCATCTCTTTCAGTCGGGCTTCTAATATTTGTACACTGCCTTTTCCACAGGAATCCCTGTAAAAGAGATTTCTGGATTAAAATAAAACCATAGTGTTAGAAGTGACTTCTAGTATAACCCCTTGCAACAGATGCAAAATGTGCAGCTACTAAACCAACCCAGGCAGCTACCTACCCAACCTCCTCTTGAAAACCCTCAATGAGGGAGATTTCACAGCTTCCCTAGGCACCTTTCTCCACTGCCAGTTACAAAGTTTGTCCTGACAAATTAACTTACTTTCCTACAGTTGAAACAGACTACCTCATGTCCTGCTATCTGTCACAATGGAGATCAATGTCATAAAAATGGGAAAATGGCCTTTCAAATATTTGAAAATAATTGTCATGTATTTTTCAGTCTACCTTTTATCCTCTCTCTTTCCCAAATTAAACATATCTAATTGCTTCATCAGTTTTTTGTGCATTATAGCTTCCTCACCTTTCTCAGACTGAATCTTGTTCCCACAAAGGAATCAACTATGCTGAGGTCCTTGTTACACTTTGTGCCTTCAGCTGCACAAAGGTTGATCAGTGTTGGTGCTAGCTTGGAGTTTGGAGCAGTTGCACCCTTAGTTTAGAAACTTTCTCTGCCTGTCCCCTGTCCTCCATCTGCACAGCTGTGGTTTGCCTCTAGAGACCTGGGGAGCAAGACTAGGAGCTGCGAGTTGTCATTAGGGGTCTGGTGAGCCAAGACAGGCTTCGATCCCTGCTCCATGGGTGGGAGTGTAAGAGATCCTGGGATACTGGAGGTCTTCTAACTTTGGTGGCACATCTGTGGGGAGTTGACACACCATAATGGAACAGGAGCTAGATAGTGCAGATCAACAATAATCCTGCTCTGGAGTGATATAACTCTGAGCCATGTAATAAGAGCTTAAAACCACTTTAAGGTGTTAATATATGGACAATGAAGGGGTTAAGAGCTCCAGAAGCCATGCAAAATTACCATGTAAGAAGGTGCTAATATCTTGAAGTGCAGGTGTATAAGCTGTACTGATACCTCCAATAATACTAGGTCTGTATCATCATCATAGACAAGGGTGAGAATCCGCCCCTCTGGAGTGAAGTAACAATATCCCTGTTATGTACCATTATTAATTCATTAGCATGGTTTGACCTACGTTAATATCAATACTAACCTCCTCAAACATATTAGAAATTGAAGCATCTGGGTTAATTTCCATGTTCCTAACCTTATTTTATCACTCACCCCTTGATGATTTTTTCTCACCTCTGTCACAATGACTGTTACCCAACTTCCCATTTTCTCTCCCTTGTGCTTGTCATCACTTCTGCATACTGATTTTTTTTTTTACTTCTACCACTGATCTGTCCATAGTATGGCATGCATTCTAACCCCCTTTTTTAACTTTGCCACCTACCTCTATATCCCTTCCAGTTTTCATCCTTAGAAAGAATTATGCCAAAATTATGCCAGGTAATAAATATAGATGGATGGTTGATTTCTGAGGTCTTTAAAAACAGACTGTGAATTTCATAAGAACACAGATTCTCAAACCTGCTTAGTACTGTTGTAGTGGAAGAAAAGTGTCAGAATCAAAGGTGTTAATGTGACCTTGGCTATAGCTACACTGAGCTTGTACAGACATACCAAGCCTGACTTTAAACTAGCTTGACTGGGTGCAGTGTAGCTAAGGAAGCAGAGAATTTAGTAAGAGCTGCAAAACCTACCAGAGCAGAGTAAATACTTGGGTAGTTAGCTTATACTGGGCTCTGTCTCTGGCCACCCTGCAAACAGTACCTAAAATAGCTAGCTTAAAGTTATCTGTTTACATAAGGAAGGGATTTCCTTTGTTAAGAAAGCACTTAACCTTCCTTTGTTAGGAAAGCACCTAACCTAACTTTGAGGTTTAATGTTTCTGATGTAATCAATCCACTTTTTACTTCTCATCAGTGTCCTCTCCTTTTTCCCTTCTATATAAAACCCTTTCTTTATGCCAATCCATTCATAGTATCTGAAGAAACAGGTTGTTGCTCATGCCTCTCTGAACTAGTTAGTCTCCATGGTGCCACCCTGCCCTACTTTCTGCTATCTACTAATAATCACAGAGAAAAATAAAATGAAATGGGTTCATAAAAGGTGAAAACAAAGTTTCTGGGATTGTCTGAAGACATTTAACTTACAAATCTGGTCCTCCAATATCATCCATAACCCATATTTCAATCTGTGAGATTCTTTCTTTCTGGAGATTAGGAATTTCAAAGTCTGCAAAAAAACTAAGTAAAAAATCCCAAGTAGTTAAAACCAAAGGCAGGGATGGAAAGGGAGCCCTCCCTCTCTCTCCTCCCTCCAGCATCATACTTAGACTCCTGGCAGCCCTGAGTGAACCTTTAGTATCGGGCCCTCCTTCACCAGAGATAATAGTAATAATAATAAGAATTACCTTTTTCAGGCCCATTTTATGTCCTGGCCCCTGACGGCCGCCTGGTTCACCCATGCCCGTGTCTGACCCTGCTTCTCTCCCCCCACCGCTTTGGTAGTAACCAGGGTTCTGATCATGGCCCCTACTAACTTCAGTAATTCAGCATCTGAGGCCCCCATTTGTACCAGCTGTTTTGTCATCAGACACAAAACAGCAAAACACAAACTAAGATTTTGACCGTTCCCAGAGCTTGAGTCTTTGGAGCCAAAGTTTTTTGTTTTTAATTGCTGCTCTTAGCAGCATGGAGCTGGAATAAGGTGCAGTAGTACTGCTGGGTAGGGAGGGATAAAGTTTAAAACACAACAGTTAAATAACAAATCAATTAGTGTTTTGTTAAAAAGAGAACAAATTGCAAGAGCAGCCTCTTTCCAGGCACGGCATGAGC